TTAATTCAATTCAGTCAGAAAAATATCCAATCTCCTACGTGTCCTGCAGATAAAACTAATTACAACAAACTATCATGTCTTGTGTGGACGCGTCCACAGAGACAAGGGGGGCGACAGAGGAATCTGGAAGCTTAAAATTAATTTCTTTTCTGTATATCTGTGATTTGATATGAGGCAACATTTTAAAACTCCAACAAACACAGTTCATGATGTAAGTCGGGGTGGAGGACATCGAGTAACAACTTCGCTTTTCTGGGTTCCTTCCAGACACACACACACACACACACACACACACACACACACACACACACACACACACACACACACACACACACACACACACACAGTGAGCGTCGATTTAAACACCTACATCCTTGCATCCTTGTGTGTGAGAGTTGCATTGAGTGGTGACGAGGAGACTGAGGGACGGAGACAAAACAAGACGGACGCCCCCGTCTCCAGCCAAAGTCACTGTGCGTGTGCGCGTGTGTGTGTGTGTGTGTGTGCGCACGCTGGGCCGACACACACTCAGGAGTCGCCTCTTTCCGGCAGGAAGCACAAACAAACAAAAGGTGATAAATGGGAGTGATTGAGGTCGAGGCCTCAGCTGAGTGGTCCCGTCTCCCGTCTCCCGTCTCCCGTCTCCCGTCTCCCGTCTCGCTGGACGGAGCTGTTACTACGCACGGAGGAGCGATCCTCCCGGCTGAGACGGATGAGCAGCGATCGCACGCAGCAATAACACTCGCAGCGGGGCAGGAGCGCAGCATCCCCAGAGCCCCCGCCCACCACCTGCCCCCCCGGCCTCTCGTGGTCCAGAGCTGCTAAGCTAATTAGCCTCGGCCTCAAATCTAATCTGTCCGTGGCCGCGAGCTGCTCCTGATGTCTTTCAGCCCCGAGGTAATGGACAATAATTAGCACCATTGATTTTCGCAACTGGAGGGAGGGGGGAGCTGTTAACAGTGCTGGTGTGAGGGGGGGGATTATCTGCCCCCCTCACACAAAAAAGGAAAAGGGAAGGACGAAGCTGCTGCAGAATTTGAATCATGCATAAATATCGGGGATCTGGGATTTAAAGGAGAGGGAGCAGTGACATCACAGTGACATCACAGTGACATCACAGTGACGTCACAGTGACGTCACTGACGTGAAGAAGACGTGTTAACATGTCAGAACGCAGTCGACATGATCAGTGCTGAAAATAGTTCCAGCAGAATGTGATTCATTCGTTGAACAGAAACACACGTCGTCTTCGCCTCAACCTTTTTTTAGGCAAACTCATTCAGATTCGACTTTTTACAAATCGACACTTGATTAAAAGATAAACATTTACACATTAATAAGTCTTCATGGGGAACGTGAGTATTCTGCATTATGTCTTCGGCGAGCTGAAAACAACGAGCAGAGAACAAGAGGAGGAAGAAGGTCCTGCATCGAAACACAAACGGGCCCCGAGGGGTCGAGGGAGCGGCGCCGGCGCCGTTTGATGCTTAACTGGAGCTCCGACGTAACCAGAAGGGATCGCCGCTCCCGTTTATTACACTCAAACACTTGGACGCCCACCGGGGCGCCAAGCGCTGAAGCCGGCCGCACTAGGACGGGAGAGCAGCTGGAGGCCGTTCCAGAGGACCGGCGCTCTTCTGCCTTTCGATTAATCAGCGAGCGGCGCCACGGGAAATAAACTGCACAAAGTGTGGAGTTCATCAAAGGCACATTGTGGAAGGAGGAATACGAGGTCAGAGAAAACGTCGCCACTTAACAAAAGCAACAACTACTGCTCAAAGAACCGGTGGCCGGCGATGAGAAGTAACGAGGGCCGTTAAATATGCATGAAAAGAAAAGATGACTTGAAACCAAATGAGCTTCATTATCTGTTATAATATATATGCACACACATTTGTATGTGTAAATTATCAGCATGTATATTTATGAGCTCATCGTTGGGGGGTGTGCACACATGAAGGGCACCACAGTGATGGAGGAGACAACGTATTTGTTTAATACTCTTCAGGAGGAAGAAGCTGCTCGCTTCTCATTTTAAAGTTAAATGACTTTGTGATTTGTACTCGACATAAATAAACACCCGCCACGCTGACATAAAGAACGTTAGCTGGAACCCAAAAGGCTGGAACGCAGGAAGCACTCGATGGTCACTGAGCTCCACTGGAGGTCACTGCCCGTCATGTCCCACAGCGCGTGAGGAACCCAGAGGAACCCAGAGGAACCCACACGGAGACACACTTTGGATCCATGTTCATACAATCATTTCAAACAGCGTCTTTAGAAACACAGTCATATTTTTGCAGGGGTTGAAATGTTAGTTACCTCAAATGTTTCAGCGAGAGATGACGTTTTATTTAAAAAGGTCCCCACATGAGTAATGAAACGTTTTCCTTCCTTCTGTGTCGTGTAGAGAGAGAAGACGTGTGTGTTTTTATGAGACTAATTAACTATCCGACGCCGACGCCACCGCTCAAAATACTGACCGGCTGCCTATAAAACACAAACGACACTTCTGACACAGATCCATGGCGCCGAAAACTCTCACTCTGTGTGTCAGGACCAATCATAAGAATCCACATTTTAAATGTAAAGTGGAGCAATGGACACACACACACACGCAGGCTGATGATTTGTAATAAACCTGCAGCTCACACAATGCTGCGAAGAGGCTTCCTGTCACGGCGGCTTCGTCAGCTTCTGCCTCGTCTCGTTGAATTGCTGACTGAACGTTTCCCCCGAGCAGGAAACTGACAGCACGCCGCTCACTTCATGTGGTGAGACTGAGGTTTACAATGTTTACAGTGACGCAAACATAGCAAACAGAGCATTTGGCTCCCGGTAAAAGCCGATGTAGGAGAAGGTGAGAAGGTGAGAGACGGTTCGCTGCTGCTCTTTAGGTTACGTTAACCAGGTTTACTAGTCTCCAGCCGTTTAGCGGTTCGCGTCAGCTGATGGATGGAAGTCTGTCAGCTCGGATTTGCTAAATGCTGCACTGCGCTTTGATGCGTCGTGAAGGTCTCGCTGGCTGTTGTCTGGCTGTCAGCATAGTTTGACTTCATTACGTTTTATGTGTACGGAGCTCCGTAAAGATTCAGCTTTGTCACCTCACGCCCGTTTATCGTATTATTAAAACATACGCAGACTTATCAGGCCGTCAGCGGGTAACCTAGCAACAACAGATCAAAGTTACACTACACGGAGCCTCCAGCTCATTTTCTCTCATCAACAGAGCGTAAGAAGTGAAAGTTTACTCATTCACACCACATCCCCCCCCCCCACCGTGTAAAGAGTCGGATCGAACCATCCGAGGCGGCGGGTCGGACCATCTCCGATACTCATTAGTATGTGACTCACTCCGTGACGTCGCTCAGGCTGAAAGATAAGAGGCAGCAGAGCGATCTGCTGATCCCCGGCACATATCCACCGATGGGGGGGGGGGGGGGGATGTCAATGCGTATCCTGAAGCAGCGTCCGGGGAACGCGCTGGAATACTAAAACACGCGTGTAACCGCGGATGGACGGTCCTTCAAACTTAAACATCCTTTCCTCAGCAGAGTGAACATCTGGATCCCAAACTGGCTGCAGCTCATGTTTCCATAAGAAGCAGAAACGTACAGTTCATCTTAAACTCATTATAGAAAACCTCCACCAATAACAATATGAGGACAAGTATTCTGCTCCACATTAAAAGCATTAAAAATAATTTGTGTGTGTAATAGTGACATAATAAATAGAAGGCGTATATTTTAGAGTCTGGCTGTAATAAATGTTACTGTATCATGAAATGTATTCTGCTGTGATTCCCACGTGGAGACACAGCGTCCTGCAGATGTCGAGGACTTTACAGTCTGAGAGACAAAAGAGATCCGATTCCTGTCAGTCGGCCCCAGCCGGAGCTTTTATGCTCCTTTAATTACATTTCCTCCCACACCACCCTGTGCTACGCCCCAGTGTGGCCCTCGTTATGTCAACGTGAGAGAGTGTGTGGGAGGAGGGCGGGGGGGTTAAATCGATCTGAGAACAATCCAGCCACTGCTTGGTTATATTAAAAAAGCTTAACATCTATGTGAACAAGTATTTTAAAAAACGTGTCCAGATCTGAGAGAGAAGTCCGATAAATTAAATTGTCATAAGTGTCTGATGACCACGGGTCTGGAGGCTCCGCCTCCCCGAAAACAACGTGCGACTCCCCGCGGAGCGTCATGTGACATTGGAGTAATTGAGCGGTAATGAGTTTGGTTTCATGTCACTGGAGCAACGGCCCGTTAATTAAAGCTCAATCAAGTGCTGATGAAAAGCCGGCTCGCTCCGATATCCGTTTCTCTGATTAGTGTCTCCTCATCAAGTGACCGACATCTCTGCCACAAACACCCAGCGGCCAGGCAGAGGAACTATTACATAATATCTACGTACCACATTACAAGAACGATTAAGCAGCTTATTGTATGCACATTTCCTTAATGTGTCCTATAATACTATAAGAATACTACCAGGATGCCTGCACGTATTCTGCAGCAGGATAAACAGACATCGGATTTCTACTGTGAATAAAAGTCACAAGAAGGTTTTGGGGTTTGACTTCACTACAATATAACTGCACTTATGTCACATATGCAGAATCAATGAGAATCAATACAGATCAGATGTGACAACCGATGAAATCGCTTCACTTTCCACCTCACTGCTGGTGCGAAGTCTTCAAACACCCGGAGGGAACTTCAGACTAGTGAGAACAGAAGCAGTGGAACCGGTGAACATTTGGGCAGCTAATAATTGATTGTGTGACTGATTTGATTAAGTAATCTTCATCTTTAGCCAACGACTCAAAACCCAAAATTGATCTGAAAAAAATCTTTTTCTTCAAGTTAAAATGTTGCAACAAACCAAGAAGAAACCTGACGTCTAATGTGAAACTTTACGGAGGAAACCAGGTAAACCCCCGCTCAGGTGCATTGTGGGTAACACAAATTCCAGCTGGAATAGGAGACGCGTGTGCTTACCCCTGTCTGTCTCCGTCCACCAGGATTCGGACCAGGATGCCGGTGACGGCCACAAGGATCGGGTAGTGGTCCACACTCTCCAGACCTGCAGCACACATCGATCGGACCCGTCTCAATCCGCTCTCTGCAGGCGGCTTTCACCTTTCATTTCTATGTCTAATTTACGAGTGTGTGTGTGTGTGTGTGTGTGCATACCTGGCAGTCTCAGGTTGACCACCCGATCAAACAGGTTCTTTTCTGCCGTCACTCTGTTCAACACCTGGTTCAACAACTGCAGAGGAGCAGAAAGACACAGAACTAAAGTCAACGCCTGTAGAACATGATTTACTTCTCTCAGTCGGCCCGTTTGACTTAAAGGTCGTCTTGAGGGAACCGCCTCTACTTCACGGGATGAGAAGAAAAAGAAGCATACAGGGAATAAAAGGGTGTTGCGTGATGGATCCAGGTGCGCGTTACCTGGGCGAGCCGTCTGAGGAGGAGCTCTGCGGACGGGCGGGTCCAGTCCAGGAAGATCTCTGGAACCAGAGTGACGGTCATCTCCAGAACCCGCAGCAGACTGACGGACAGGTCGAAGCAGGTCGCGCACACCTGGAGCAGATGTTCAGTTTACAGGTTGTAGTTGGAGAGACGAGCGGAGTCACGGCGCCGTTTGCCTTTTTTCTCACCTTCAGCTGACGGGTGTCCACGAAGTTCCTCTCAGGGCGCTCCGCCGCCTGCTGGATCTGAGACGGGAGAACGGTGAAGGGGGAGGAGCTTAGAAAGACTTTACATAAATATATATATAACATTTATAAAAAATGATTAAAGGAGCAATCACAGGTGAAGGATTTAAAGCATCTCTGTAAGTGAAGAATTGGATTTCCTGGATTTCCACATCTCTCTCTCTCTCTCTCTTCAGTGGATCTGCGTCTTTGGTTGCTCTCACCTCCTGGATCATGCCAATGAACTCGGAGAAGGCCCAGTTGAGCTGGTTGAGGACGCTGTTGAGGAACGAGGCGGCCATGTCCTTGTCCACGCTCAGCAGCTCCGCCATGTGACCCTGCAGCAGCAGCGACGGGCACGGCTCTGGACCAATCAGAGGAAGCGAAGGGTCAACAAAGCCGGGTGGGCGCAAAACAGTCGATCGCGACGAGGGGGGGGGGCAAGGGGACGGGGAGAGGGTGAGACCGGGAGGGTGAGACAGGGAGGGTAGCAGCAGCTGGATCCGTCGGGGCTTCAGAGTAGCGTCTTTCAAACTAAAAGAGGAAATAAGGAAACACTCGGGAGAAGATTGAGAAGAGACAACCGGGGTCGACTGGAGAGGAGGGGGATTAAGGGACACACGGGGGAGAACAGCAGCGTGAGGAAGATGAGGAAAATCTTCTCTGGTGGGAGTCAAGTGTTCATTAAATTTAATAACCCCGTTTTCTGTTTGTTTTTTCGCTGCTGCGTCGCACAAGGATGTGGAATCTGATGATGTGAGGCGTGAAGGACTTTAAGGGGAATTAACTCGCAGAGGTCACGCTCACACGCAGAGGTCACGCCCTCTCACACACACACACACACACACACACACACACACACACACACACACACACACACACACACAGAGTAATCCATATTCTACTAAATATTCAAGTACATTTTCGATCCGCAACGCGCGCATGTGACAGCTGGAGTGAACAGTTTGAAGAATGCAAATGAAAAATACATGAAGATGTTGGATATTCATCAGGCTGACTGCATAGAAAGTAGTTAAGTATTAATAGTATATTTTAATATTTTCACTTTTTAAGCCATAAACTACTTTAATGGAGAATCTTTATGTTGCTGTGCTTTTACTTTTATTTAAAACAAGAGAAGAAAGTTCATCAAGAAAGTAAGTTAAGAGATTTTTACACTTATCTTTTGGAGAACACTATATATAAATCAGTGAGTATTTATTTGGGATATAAAAATAAAAGTGTGTTTCGGTGAAATATACAGTTTGTTTCTTGAGCCTCGTGGAGAAGTCTGTTGTTTCTATTAAAGATATGAAATAATACAGACCATAGATGTGCTGTCTGGCTCGGTCTAACAGCGACCCTCAGTATTAGGTCTATTATTAGTCTTATTATTTGATATCTAAAAGCCCCAAAATGGCTTCACCTGAATCCAAAGTTCTGTACGAATCTTTGTCAAATGGAAAAAGAAAATGGCCTTGAAGTTCAGTGAAACGTCTTCAGTTCTTCCAGACAAACAATTTAAATGAAAAACAGTGCGTGTGTGTAAAACCATCGATGCAGTCCGCTGAGAACGAGATGTTCCACATCACCTACAATCCAAGTGACATTCACGCTACCATCTACTGATCAAAGGCAGCAGCTTCAGACGAGACGGGAAGAAAGTGTGTGTGTGCGACCCATGAAACAACACGCAGCCAGCAGAGCAGGATCACAAACACAACTTACTTTGGAAACTAGCAACGGACAGATCCCCTGAAAGGCATGCAAACGAGAGGGCACACGGACCAAAGTCAATTAGGGTGGAGGAGAGAGAGCAGAACATCCGTTAAGTGGGAACAGAAAGCGAAGAGGGCGATGACACGGGCAAGTCACGTGACTTCCCCACATGAGGCCAAAACAGGCCAAATAAAGAGGGCAGAGCGCAAAACAGGGCTAGAGATTGAAACTATAAACTCATGTTTACTGAGGGAATAAATCAGTCATCTTCTCATAGACGTCTATGGGTCCAGAGCATTAACTCCGTCTGGTCTGGACGGAAAACACCCGTTCAAACAAGACATCGTAAATGAGGGAACCAGTAAAACGAAATAGGACTCGGGACGAGTCCCTGAGGAACTCAACATTTAGCCAAATCATCTTCTGTTTCTGTGCTTCAGATTTAATCGTGTCAGTAGGCTTAGCTTAGCTTAGCATGACTGGCTACCAGATTAACATGTGTATCCCCTTTGTTTCATCCATGCAAAGACACAGAACTAGTGAATCTGTTTAGTTGTTTTTAAATAAAGGAGGAAGAAATATAGAAATGTATTTCCCTTGAGATCCGAAGTTTAATACTTGCTGAATTTGAATCACCTATTTTCTGAGTTACCTCTAATCATGGAGCGTGCTGAACTAGACTCATTTACTTTCAAAGATAAACATGTTGGTCTATCACAGCTGTGATTTAAATTATTATTATTACACTAAAATAAAAATTAAAAACGCAGACCCTCCCCTCACTGCTACAATGAGACGTTGGTGTTGGTCTCTTGGTCTCGTCCTTTAAAGTCCCATTTATAAACCTTCACACGCGTGCCGACACGAAAACACACGCAGATGATTAAAGCCGTAAATCAAACTGAGATGTTGTAAGAAAACAGCTGGTGGCAGCCGTGGCCTCAATTTATTTATGGAAAATCCTAAAAAGAAAAAGAGCAAAAATCGGACTTGAACCTCAGAAGACAAAAGAAAGCTGACAGAAAGGAGAAAGTTAGAAGAGACCCTGAATCCCACATCAGAGACTCATTCTGTTGAACTCAGTCAGCACAGTGAGCGAGTGAACGAGTGAGTGAGCGAGTGAGTGAGTGAACCTACTCTGCAGACTGGGCAGGTTGGCGTCCTCAGGTTTGGTCTTCAGCAGGTGAGGAAGACGCGTGTATCTGTAACCGAAACCACAACCCTGCACACACAAGACAGAGAGAGACAGCAGTCAGGGTGTGAAGACATACGTAGTAACGTCACGTGTAAAAGTGGCCGTTAATGAGGATATAATAAAAATACAAATATTATTTTAATGTTACTCTAAAATACAACAAATTGTTTGCTTATTAGTGAAGCGCGTTTCTCGTTTCTTGTATAAGCGGATAAAACCTCTGCGCTGCGACTGGGATGAAGAGACGTGAAGCAGCAGAGCTGCAAGCGAGGATTATTTATGCAGCGTTAAAATAAAAAAAAAAAAGCTCATCGGCATTCAGCCCGAGAGCTGCTGTGTGAAAACCTCGTTTCTATAGATTCCAGAGCAGGAGGATCCGCGCGCTGGTTCTGTACTGGTTCCGTTCACACGGATACTGGAACCGTGCAGCTTTTTTCATATCATAGATTTTTTTTTAATGAGAGCTCGGATTTATCCAACTGCTGCTTTACTGTTTGAAAAGAGACACACCTGAGTGTGTGTGTGTGTGTGTGTGTTGTGTGTGTGTGTTTGCACTCACCCTCCACAGTCTGACCAGGATCCAGTTGGTCTGCGCCCAGGGCCTCTGTTCGTACGGCGCCAGCAGGTTCCTCATCATGGCAACGCGCCTGGAAACGGACATGACATCATCACCGAGACTCTGCGCTCTGTGACATCATCACTGAGATCAAATAAAAAAAACAAGACAAGACTCCCGAGCAAAGATTAAAAAGAAGAATCTGTGTGAACAGCAAAGTCAAGTCTAAATGCCATGAAAACAAGAAATATATACACCGGTACTTAGAGATGATTTGTAGTGTACCACATGGAGTTATATCAGTTTAAATGCACACATTTAACTGTGAAGAACAGATTGCGTTGGTGAATCCCATCAAACACAAAGTAACACAATATATACTAATAATAGGAATATAAAACTATGAGGGAAACAAACCCCGAACTATCTGAGGCAGAGTTTTAAACCAAAAGGCACTCACTGTTCCTCTGGGATCCTCTCCACTGCCCTGAGGGATTGTGGGTAACAGACGTAGCTGGCGAGGGCCTGCATCAGAGAGTCTTTGATGTCTGAGAGGACAAGAGGAACGACGACATCATCAACATGTACCACACAACCATATTTTCACAAAGGACATGGAGACGACGTATACGTCACTGGATAGAGACCTGTCAGTCAGCGTGAAGCCCCGCCCTAAAGCATCTCCTGCTTTAAGGTCCGTTTGACTCTAAATGGACCATATTTTACTAAATGAACATCATGCTGTGTTGAAGAAGACAACTAGAGATTGAGACCATAAACTCATGTTTACAATGTTCACTGAGGGAATAAATCAAGTCATTCTCATGGACGTCTATGGGAGCAGAGGAGCCGTCCTGTCTTTCCCCTCGGTTCCCTTTGAACGTACGTTTACTACTCAGGCCGTTTCTTTCCTTCACGGACGGCCAATAAAAAACACAAAACGGTCAGGTTGGTTTTCAGAAAACGAAGTTAAGGTTCAAAGTCATCAGCGTGTTTCCTTCTCCAGCAGACAATAAGGAGCCGATTGGTGGCCACCAGACCCCGGTGATTAAAACAGACCTGCTGAGAGCAGAAGCAGGTAAACCAGAAGAGGCTGATGGATGACAACACACATTTTATAGCCAGAAAGACTCAAACGTTGCTCGTGCGGCGATAAACAGATCGTTAAAGTTCTCCTCATCATAAACCTCTACGGTCCGTAGACTTTTTCATTATTTGAAGTCGGATCACAGCGTAAAACGCAACAAATTAAGAACATATTACGCTAATCTTTCTCTTAAGGGATCTAAAATGTAACACTGACATCTGAGATGCAGCTAATAAGCTAATAGAATATGAGAGTCCTTGGTTCATACTAATATATATTTATTTCATGGGAATGTAACGTATACCGCACTGAAGTTTAATCCTCCCAACTGCTGCCGTCCTGCAGCAGCTTCCCTTCCATCCGGGTACCGAGCAACAATCCCAACATTATCACGACTAATCCTCCCCCTGCCGGAGATACACGACACACTTCCTCTTCTCCGAGCCATCGAACCTAACGGCGTAAAACCTCATCGGGCCGGACTTCTGTGGTACTGCAGCGACCCGTCGTCTGTAGCCGGGAGGAGGGAGGCTACCTGTGTGTGTGCGCGTTACCTGTTCCCACTATGCGTGGGTCAGCAAAGTGCTTGGCCAGGATGGCGGCTAGTTGCGTCAGGGTTTCTTCGTAGCCTGAGGACCAGAACGAAAAAAAAAAAAGACTCAGCAGCAGAAAGGTTAATTATCCCGACAGAACGCGTTACAGTCAAACCGGATCGCGCTCTGCTTCTCTTGAGACGACACACACACACACACACACGCGCGAGTAGTGATGACACGGCAGGACGACGCTGCATCAAGCCGTGCTCTCTGACAGCGGTGATGTCAGCAGCTGTAGAAGTGTAAATAGAATCACTTGCTAATGGGTTTGTCACTTGCATTGGTCTTTAGACACAGCGCTGCCTCCTAAACCGTCGCCTTAAATCCCCCCGAAAACAAAACAATACACATAAATACAGTAAGTTAGTTTGCATCCATCCTTTGAATGGAGACTATGAGCAGCTCCTTTTTGTATGGAGTTATCTCGAGTAACGACCCTCGGACGTGGTCTGTGACCGGGAGGACTTCTACCCGGCAGGTCCTCCATGCTGTTGGCGGGGCTGAAGTAGTTCTTGAGTGCGCTGTAGGCGTTCATGGCGGCGCTGAGGTAGAACTCCGGAGCGAAGGCGAACAGCGAGCCGGTGTTGTCGGCGTGTTCGATGGTGCGGATACAGACGCACAGCAGCCAGTACACGTCCAGCATCTTCTCCTGCAGTTGGTTAAAGAGTCACTGGAATTAACGCCGGGCCTCGTCTCCGACAGTCAAATTAAGTGAGTGAGTGAGTGAGTGAGTGAGTGAGAGAGTGAGTGAGGACCCGTGAGGGCCGCAGGAGGCCGTGGATCACCTTGGAGTAGATGGTGGCGTTGATCCAGGCCAGCCTCCTGCACAGGTGGTTCAGCTTCTCCGCAAACACCTTCTGGCTCTTCTGGAGCTCGTCCAGGATGTCTGGTCTCTGAGGGACAGGAAGACGGCCCCTTCTTATTAAGGGGGGAATTCCGATACACACGTTCCCCCAGGCTAAAACC